GAATGTCTCGCAATGCCTTATCATCATAGAAATACGCGCAATGCTTTATCATCATAGAATGTCTCGCAATGCCTTATCATAGAAATACGCGCAATGCCTTATCATCATAGAATGTCTCGCAATGCCTTATTATCATAGAAATACGCGCAATGCCTTATCATCATAAAATGTCCCACAATGCCATATCATCATAGAAATACGGACAATTTTTATCCTCATAGAAAGTGTCACAAGCATTATCATAATCATTGTAGTTTCCAAGTTTTGAAAGTAAAATAATAATAACAAAAAATAAAATAACAAAGTATAAACCGAGTCTTCATCACCGTCTGTATCCTTAGTTTGGCTGGCGGAATCTTAGTATTAGTATCATATGTGTTATGCACTATAACTGCATACTGTAGACAAGTTGACCAAAGTCTCTTTCATTATTAATCCTGACAGGTTACTATGGCCACCACCTCAATGCTGCCAATGACACGCGCAACGGAGTCTACATCACTTTATGGTGTTCAACCCAAAGTAGTATTTCAACTTTCATCTTGCCGCAGTAAATATTGTTTCGAACATTCCCAAATAAAATGTTGCATGCTTACAAATGTAAACTGAGCAGCAACGCTAGAAATAGTTACAATACATCGCTACTGATATATTGTATCATTCTTCATATTGGATTAACATTCCTTGCCAATCCTTTGGAGAATATATTCGTTGTTACACATAATTGTGTTTATACTTCTTTTGTTTTCACTTTGGACATTGGACTACAATACAATGTATTCTGCTATAACAGATTTGTGAATAATCACGGAGACACCATTTCACTACAAACTTTATTAATTAGTGCAATATATCATCGTTCAAATACATAAGAAGTCAATGTCCTATCATGATGTTGTATTCGATCTAAGTAATAACATCAGTAACAGCTCAGTGAATATTTGATTGATAAATTACAATTAATATTAAGAATCTGAAGAAATTGTTCTGCAAACCCACTGAAATTCTGATTATATTAAAATAAGAAACACATTCTTAATATATATATTGTTAACTGCCTGGCGATTAAGTGTTGCGTAAATCATTGTTAATCGAAGTCTGCCTATACAAACCAAACTTTTGTGTCATATGAGTAATTATATGTAACAATTGTTTTTTTCCTTGTTTAACGATGGGTTACATTATGTATTAGTGTTTGTTTGTTTGTTATATATAAGAAAATCGATTGGCATATGCAACTTTTCTACTTTTGAAATGGATTCATAGCATTCAAATGTCTTTATTTTATATATATTCGGTAAATATCATAGATGTTATCCTATGAGTAATGCATTACGTTATGCATTTTTATAATATTGATTGCAAAAATCTGTATATAAAAACTGTTTTGTACATACGTACAAATATTAAGGTAATGGCGTAGATATTATTTATTAATTTCTACAACATATGTGTTAAAACATACTGCATTGTATCAAGGCAATATATGATTGGTATATACTGAACAAAAATATAAATGCATTAAAAACCTATGATTTCTTCAAGAAAATCAGTATACTTGTTGACTTTAGTGTATATACCAGGCATGTTTGCTCTGGCACAGCCGTAACCAAAGCTAGTTACGCCGTATAAATACCATCGTCCATCATCCGTATTTTCGATCATCAGTGGTCCGCCACTGTCACCCTGAAAATAAAACATGTATGTCATAACCTAACCTAACATAACAACCAACAAGGCATCATGATCAGTTATATCTAATGCCTGATACCACACTCACCATAAACACATATTCCAAATTACAACAAAAATCACACATTTTCAGTATTTCTTTTTCATAAATTAGTAGATAGTTGTGGATCCAATGGTCAGACATCTTGACAACTTCATATTTTCAATTTATAGGGGTGACAATGTGCAGATGATATACATATATAGTCCATTAAGAATGGTCTGGAAAAAATATTTGGCTTAGACAGTGTCATATTTTATGTGGCAGTATTTTGATCAACTTCACACATTCGATTTTAATAAACATGCACCATTCGCCAATAAGTTAATCATCCCTTTGTGATAACTAGTGAATGATTTCTCATTATTTATAGTTTAATCAATAAATAATATATTTTCACCAACACAATGTCTGAATACTGGACACTATTTCACGATTTGTTCAGTTAATAAATATTTCTTTTAACAACACACATTTCCGTACCTGACATGTATCTATACCCCCAGTCAAGTATCCCGCACATTGCATACCAGGATGGAGCTCGATATTCAACAGCCCAGCACATTCTTCTAGTGCAACAAGTGGAACATGAGCTTCTTGGAGAATTGTGGATACTTCTTCAGCTGGAAATAAATATTGTAATATTTTAAAACCAAGGTTAACTTATCAATGTACGTTGTATTTGTATGTGATGTAATGTGGGCGTGGACATACTGCTTCACTGGTCCAGGTTAACCCTACAATAAATAACTAACCTTTATGCGATTTAATGCGAGTGGTGTCACACACTTACCACATCTTCTGGCTACAGGCTACCTCATACATGAATACACCCTGTACCTGACTGCCTGGGGCCTGGTAAATGTAGATTGTAGATGACACCTCATTTACAATATATATTTACCAGGCCCCAGGTAAACTCATCATATATGTACAACATACTTCATGTAATGTTATATGGGCGGTGGCATACCCCCACCATCTTCTTATATTATGCCCAATGTTCAGACGAATATACAATCATGTGGCTTTATGCGATTTAATGTCAAGTACATACACTTATAATCTTCTTCCACTAGCCTCCAGGTAAACAAAGTTGTGTGCGAAGTAATGTGAACGATAACATACACTTACCATCTTCCTCCGTTATGCCCCATCCTGCAATATAACCTAGTCTACCAGCAGGTAAAACAATATCTTCTAAAGCTATACATGCTGGTCTTACACGATCTGTGTAAGTCACGGGAGACGTCAACTTTAATAGGGCAATGTCATTAACATATGTCCGGTAATTGTACTCTGGGTGAATGTAAAATGTACTTATAGTCCGGGTCTGTTTGGATGACACATATGAATTTGTATATTTAATTCCCATCACTGCTTTGATGCTACTGATATCGACAATGTCCACAATCCTGCGGATTTAATAGACATATACATTAGATGTCGTAAAATAATGAAGCAAATAAAGAATGGTTTACGTCACGTATTGTATCTGTATTGCCGTACTTAAGTTACAGTTACACGTATTGTATCTGTATTACCGTACTTGAGTTACAGTTACACGTATTGTATCTGTATTACCGTACTGAAGTTACTGTTACACGTATTGTATCTGTCTTACCGTACTGAAGTTACAGTTACACGTATTGTATCTGTATTACCGTACTTAAGTTACAGTTACACGTATTGTATCTGTATTACCGTACTGAAGATACATTTACACGTATTGTATCTGTATTGCCGTACTTAAGTTACAGTTACACGTATTGTATCCGTATTGCCGTACTGAAGTTACATTTACACGTATTGTATCTGTATTGCCGTACTGAAGTTACATTTACACGTATTGTATCTGTATTGCCGTACTGAAGTTACAGTTACACGTATTGTATCTATATTGCCGTACTAAAGTTACAGTTACATGGATTGTAT